GGGCAAGATGGTAAAATCTCATCTCTACTAAGAATACAAAAATTAACTGGGCACAGTGGTGCATGCCTGTAATCCCAGCTACTCAGGAGGCTGAGGCAGGAGAATCACTTGAGCCCAGGAGGCAGAGGTTGCAGTGAGCCAAGATTGTGCCATTGCACTCCAGCCAGCCTGGGTGACAGAGCGAGACTCCATCTCAAAAAAAAAAGCAAAAAGACAACCTACAGGATGAGAGAAAATATTTGAAAATCATATATCTGAGAAGTGTTTAATATTCAGAATATACAAAGAAAACCTACAACTTAACAACATAAACAACCCAATTGAAAAATGTGAGAAGGACTTGAGTAGATATTTCCTCAGAGAAGATATACAAATAGCAATAAACATATAAAAAATGTTCAATATCATTAGTCATTAGGAAAATGCAAATAAAAGTCACAATGAGATGCCTCTTTATACCTACTAGGGTGACTGTAATTTAAGAAAATGGAAAATATTCAGTGTTGGCAAGAATGTGGATAAATTGGAACTCTCATACATTGCTGGTGGGAATGTGAAATGGTTCAATTACCATATAAAATAATTTGATGCTTCCTCAAACATCTAAACATAGAATTACCATATGACTCAATAATTCTATTTCTAGATATATATCCAAAATAATTGAAAATGGTTTTCAAACAGACACTTATACACTACTATCCACTGCAGCATTTTTCGCAATAGTCAAAAGGTGGAAGTGGCCGGGCGCAGTGGCTCATGCCTGCAATCCCAGCACTTTGGGAGGCTGACGCGAGCAGATTACCTGAGGTCAGGGGTTCGAGACCAGCCTGGCCAACATGGTGAAACCCCGTCTCTACTAAAAATACAAAAATTAGCCGGGAGTGGTGGTGTGTGCCTGTAATCCCAGCTACTTGGGAGTCTGAGACAGGAGAATCGCTTGAACCTGGGAGGCAGAAGTTGCAGTGAGCTGAGATAGTGCCACTGCACTCCATCATCCTAGGTGACAGAGCAAGACTCCATCAACCCCAGTGTCCATCAGCAATGAATAAATAAACAAAATACAGTATATACATATGATAGAATAGTATTCAGCAATGAAAAAATGAAGTTCTGATACAGGCTTCCACATGGGTGCACACTGAAAACACTATGCTAAGTGAAATAAGCCTGACACAAAGGATAAATATTTTATGATCCCACTTATGTGAAATATCTACAAAAGGCAAATTCACCGAGACAGAAAGTAAATTAGTAATTACCAGCATCTGGGGTGCAGGGGAATGCGGAGTTAGTTGCTTAATGCTTATAGAGTACCTACTTGGATTGATAAGAATGTTTTGGAAATAGATAGTGATGATGATTGTACAACATTGTGAATATAATTAATGTCACTGAATTGTACACTTAAAATAATTAAAATGGCAAATTTTATGCTATATATATTTTACCATAACAAAGAAGAGAGGAGAGGAGGTGATTAAATTGGATGAGAAAGAAATGAAAACAATGAAAATAACTTCCCAGTTGCAAAAACAAACCCCAAAACTTGAAAATGCAAACTGATCTATTGTGACATGAGGAAATTTTGAGGGGTGATGAACATAATCATTATGTTGATTATGATGATGTTATATATACATACACAGACACACACGTGTATATATGTATATATGTGTATATGTATATATACACACACACACGAGAGAGAGAGAGAGAGTCATCCCTTGGTATCCACAGAATATTGGTTCCAGGATCTCCCACAAATACCAAATCCACCGATGCTCAATTCCTTATGTAAAATGGCATAATATTTGCATATAACCTATGCACATCCTCCCATATACTTTAAATCATTTCTAAATTACTTGTAATACCTAATACAAGGTAAATGCTGTGTAAATAGTTGTTATACTTTATTTTTTATCTGCATTATTTGTATTGTTGCATTGTAACTTTTAAATTTTATTCTTTTCAATATATTTAATTTGAAGTCAATTGAATTTTTGGATGTGGAACCCACAGATACAGATGACTAACTGTATATATATGTATATATTTCCAAATTATTAGATTCTACATTTTTAATATATGTAGCTTATTATACACCAATTATACCCCCAACAAAATATTTTTGAAAATTAAGCTTATTACAAATCAGTTTTATTAAAGGTTTCGGGTCTATGTTAATAACAAGGTAGAAGATAGACCCAGTCTCTGCTATCATGGAGCTTACATCCTAGTAGGGGAAATAGGCTTTAATCAAATACTCACATGAACCACAGCATATTATAAATTGGGATATGTTCTAGGAAGAAAAATTATGTGGAGCTCTGAAAGCATATTTATGTGGGGCATCTTCTAGTCTGGGACTGAGTAGGGAAGGCTTTCCTAAGCAAATGTCCTTTGAATTGAGGATTGATAGATGAATAGGCATTCATTCCATGTGGATTAATGGAAATGAAGGGATGGGGAAGGGGGCAGATTTTTAGTACAGGGAATAGTTTATGCAAAGGCCCTGAGGTATAAAAGTGCTTGGCATGTCTGAAGAACTAAATGAAGGCCCGTGTGGATAAGGCATAGTCATCAAGAAAGGGTGGTAAAAGGAAAGACTGAAAAAGTAGGCCTACTCTGGTCATGCAGTATCATATAAACCATATAAAGATTTGAGTCTTTATCTTAACAAAAGTATGAAGCCATTGAATGGTTTTAAATAGAAATGAAACGTTAACTTTGAAAGGAACACTCCGGCTGCTATGTGAACTGTAGGACAAAAGTAGAGTGAAAGAAACCAATCAGGAAAATACTGCAATGAACGGTTCAGGCATGAGATGACAGTAGCTTGATCCATGGTGGAAGTAGCAGAGTTGGCAAGAAGTGGACAAATTGAAGATATTTTTATGAACTAGATGAGAGAATGGGTTTCGAGGAAAAAGTTATGCCTTGCAATAATTATTGTCAAACTATAGCCTGCAGGCCGAACTGGCCCACTGCCTGTGTTTGCAGAAGAGTTTTATTATAACACAGCCACATCCATTCATTTACATATTGGCTATGGCTATTTTTGCGCCACAACAGCAGAGTTGAGTAGTTGTGACAGAGATTATATGTGGCCCTCAAAGTCTTAAGTATTTACTGTCTGACTCTTTACAGGAAAATATTTGCTGATCCCTGATCTAGGATGATGACTCTAGGTAACCAGCTTGTATGACTGGATGATGGGTAGGCAGTGCAGGTAGAAAGAGAAGAAGGTAGGGAGGGAGAAAAGATGGAAGGAGCAGTCTCCTGGGGGAAGAAGTGTAGTAATACAAGGAGAATAAAGGATGTGAGGAGTGGTCCTCAGAAAGAGAAGGAAAAGGGTGGAGTTGCAGCTTCTGCTTTTGCTCAACTGTGGTGGTTGAGTGTTGTCAGGGGTGCTGGTATTCAGGAGACCCTAAGATGCTCTTTGCAGACCTCAGAGATGATGCTCACTGATGCTGATTCCAATCACAAAATCTCTCTGAAACACTGCTGTGAACACTAGTTAATGAAAATCCTGTACTGAATAGCAGGGCAAGGGGGTGTTTCTTAGGTAAAACCCCTGAGTATAGTTTGGATCATTTGAGTGCAACAGAGGTAAGGCGTGAGACCTTAGGAGCCACAGTGCATATACATGTATGTGCCCAAAGTGTTCAGACAGCTCAGAGAACTGAATGGGAGGCTGGTAAGAAAGGAAGAGAGATTTATTTTCATGCCAACATTATTTTTATTCAGTGGCTTGGTTAGGGACATTTACAGAAGACACAAAGCAGGAAGGGCAATAACTAAGGTGGAGAATGACTCAAAATCCAAGTTATAATGTTTATTGAGTTCTTAGTACATGCTAAACTCTGTTCTAAGCATTTGACCTGTGCTATGATTCCTTATAATAATGCAATGAGGACAGGTGCTGTGGCTCACACCTGTAATCCCAGCACTGTGGGAGGCTGAGGCGAGTGGATTGCTGGAGCCCGGGAGTTCAAGACCAACTTGGGCAACAGGGCGAAACCCCATCTCTGCTAAAAATTTTTAAAATGGCCGGGTGTGGTGGTTCACGCCTGTAATCCCAGCACTTTGGGAGGCCAAGGCAGGTGGATCACTCGGGGCCAAGAGTTAGAGACTAGCCTGGTCAACATGGTGAAACCCTGTCTCCACTAAAAATTCAAAAAATTAGCCGGCCATAGTGGTGCATGCCTGTAGTCCCAGCTACTCGGGAGACCGAGGCAGGAGAATTGCCTGAACCCAGGAGGCAGAGGTTGCAGTGAGCCAAGATCACGACACTGCACCCCAGCCTAGGCAACAGAGCAAGACTCCATCTCAAAAATAAATAAATAAATAAATAAATAAATAAATAAATAAATAAATATTAGCCAGGTGTAGTGGTGTGCACCTGTGGTCCTAGCTATTTGGGAGGCTGAGGTGGGAGGATCACTTGAGCCCAGGAGGTCAAGGCTGCATTGAGCTGTGATTGTAACACTGCACTTTAGTCTGGGTGACAGAGCAAAACCCTGTCTCAAAAAAAATGCAATGAGGCAGGTGCTCTCACTATAGCCATTCTACAGATGAGGAAACTGAGTCATAGAGTGATGATGCAACTTGCTTAGGATGACACAGCTAGTAAGTAGTAGGAGTAGAATTGGAACTCAGACAGAGAAAGCATCTGCTCTTAGTCACAACATTATGAACCCAGATAAAGTCAAAGAGACACCTAGCCTTGGGGACAGGAAGACATTCTAGAGAAAAATATCCCAACTATACTTGGAAGTTTTACCTAAGAAACACACCCTTGCCCTGCTAGACAGCACAGGGTTTTCATTAGCAAGTATTCATAGCACAGAGTTTGAGATTTTATGATTGGAATCAGCATCAGTGGGCACCAGCTCTGAAGTCTGCAGAGAGTGTTTTAGGGTCTCTTGAATTCCAGTACCCCACCCCAACACTCAGCTTCCAGAGTTGAGCAAAAACAGAAGCTGCAATTCTACCTTTTTCCTTCTTTTTCCGAGCTGCTCCATTGCCTTTCTGAGGACATGCTTTTCTTTCATCAGGTGCCCAGATGCCATCAGTTATCTTCCTCTGCATACTGAAACCACCTTTGCAAAATTATGACTTGAGATAACGAAAGAGATCTAACCTAACTAACTTCATCTTGCTTCTAACCTCCAAATTGTCCTTATTCATTCCTGGGTGTAGGCTGAACTAACTTTGGGAGGAACTTCATTTACAGTTTATAATAGTTTATAGTTTAAAACAAAGATGATAACAGCCATTTCTCAAAACAAACCTTCTTGTCTGGGGACTAGATTGCCTTTGTAGGACTAGCATTAGCCACAAGATTAGAAATTATGATTTAGGAGTCGTGCAGCTAGAGGCTACAAGATTCTGACCCACCTCTAAACTGCTCCTAAGATCAGTGCTTGAGATATTTTGCAGACCCTGTACTTGATGGATCAGATCAGCTGCCAACACCCAGATTGATAAACTGGCTCTTCTGATCTTGAGGCCCCCACCCAGGAACTGACTCAGCGCAAGAAGACAGCTTGGACTCTCTATGATTTCATCTCTGACCTGACCAATCAGTACTCCCAGCTCACTGGCTTCCCCCACCCACCAAGTTGTCCTTAAAAAGTCTGATCCCTGAATGCTCTGGATTTGAGTAATATGCTCCAGACTGGTTTGAGTAATAATGAAATTCCAGTCTCCTGCACAGCTGGCTCTGAGCGAATTACTTTTTCTCTATTGCAATTTTCCCATCTTGATAAATCAGCTCTGTCTAGGCAGTGGGCAAGGTGAACCCACTGGATGGTTACAAACTTGGGAGCTTATCTGGGATTGCCCTTGTGGCTACCCGCCCATGGTTCAGTAGCCCCCCTCTGGCGATTGATCCGGAGGCCAGCCCAAGTGGCCACCTAGTTCTCTTGGACTAGGATCTGACTCTGGTTCTCTACTGGTGGGGTGCTGCCAACCCAATGTGCATTGGATTTAATTGCAATGGAGAAATAGTCCTAGGAAGGCATCCCATAACTGTAGCCCCATATAGAGGGTGTCTGTCTGTAGCCCCATTGCGGGGTGACTGGGTTGGTAAGTATCCTAGGCATTGCCAACACCTCTTTCCTTCTCCTGACTGGCTCTGTAGCCCTATGGTGGGGTGTCAGTAGCCCCATTGCAGGGTGTCAGTTTGCAGCTCCACCTCAGGGTGTATGTCTTGGTTTGGCTCCTTCAGGGGTCTCGGTTTGTCTGTAGCTCCATTGCATGGTGTCTGTCTTGGTTCAGCTCCTGGGGTGGTCTTGTTTGGCTTTCCCTAACTAGTAGGAAGAGTCTTGGTTCAGGAGGCTTCTCAATCAGGAAAATTTGGGGAAGATTTCTCAGACAGAGAAGAGGAGGATAGTTTGGAAGGGATATTCTTGGAGTTCTTGGTTAAGGATCTGATTTGGAAGGCCTTCTGTCTGTCTTGTCTTTGTGTGCGTTTGTATATGCGGAGGGAATCTCAGAAGGAATTGCTGATGGAAGTCCAGCAGGCCTAACACAGGGAACCCTCTTATTTGTCTGGTCACATTCAAAGCCCTAAAAAAAGCTCAACAGGCTTGTCTCAGGATGACTATCTGGTCTTTGCCTTGCCCAAAGATCACCCATTGTGAATTATTATTTGGAAGTCATCCCTCCCCACCTGGAGTGGATCAAAGACAACAGGGACCAACAGAAGAAAGTCTGAACCTTGCCAGGTTGATACTGGGTGCTGAATGAGGTGACTAGTGTCTGTTTTGTTATATGTATTTTGTTGGGATGGAAAATGTTAATTTGGTTCCCCATGCAACCTGTTGGGCAACATCTTGCAAAACTGACAGTCTTTTGCCTATGTTTCCATAAAACAGAAAAGGGTGATTTTCTTTTGTAAAGTGGCTCAACTCCTACAGCTACAGTACAGTGAGCAGGGTCATGAAAAGCCACTCCATTTTTCTGGAAGCTACAGAGAAAGGGAACCTGGAAACCCTGTATATCAGCAAAAAGGGTAAGAAATTCTTACCAGTCTACCAAAACAGAGATATAGACCAATGGAACAGAACAGAGCCATCGGAAATAATACCACACATCTACAGCCATCTGATCTTTGACAAACATGATAAAAACAAGAAATGGGGAAAGGATTCCCTATTTAATAAATGGTGCTGGGAAAA